TTTAGGGCACTTCATATTTCCTCCACAGGCAAACCTTTTTGAGCTCTTGAAATTCTTTAGATTAAAATAAAATAAACTTGAGAGTGTCAGACTCACACATGTGTTTATGCATGTTAGTGTTATTATGTGTTAACAGTTCTGATGGCGTCATGTGAGAACTGCTACCTCTTGCCCACTTGCAGTGGTGGAATCTGAAACCTGAAGTACACACGATTTCTCACTGCCCTCTTTTACACTTCGAGCCTTCCAGTATGCCTGCTGAAGTGCACCTCGGAAAACGACAGACAGATTTAGCTTTGCACTTTAAATATAGAAAGGGATACAGCAATGAAAACATAGACATCACGTCTGAATGCTACTGCTCGGACATGATGCTGGCATATTTCAGTTTGTTGCTAACAAACGTGACTCATGAAATGTGCTGTAAACAGCCTCATTACTGTAAGCAATTTACTATTAACTATTACATATGCAGCAACAGCTACGTACACTTAGCAATCTGTCTACTGCTGCTGAGGTTTTTTAATTTCTCACTTTGTTTTGTTGGAGGAGGGAATGCCCCATTCACACCATTATCATTCTTGTAGGTTTCCCCTGAGTGTTATTACACTGGTCCTGATTTGGAGTGGCGGTTGCTCGGTTGGCTGTCTTTGGTAGATTGTGGGTTTGAGGTCTAATGCTAGCCCTCGTATAAACTGTGTGGATAGAGAGTGTGTGAGAGAGGGAGAAGGGGTGGGGGTGTGATGGAAGGATATGCCGGCTTTTACAGCTGAATAACTGGGTCAGTTTAAGATGACAACGCTTCTTATCTCCTCAGCTCATCGCTGGGTGTTCACTGTTCACTGCATGCTCAGCTTTTCAGCACCATCCACTGCTCAGCCACTCTCCTCTCGGCCCTTTCTCCCTTTCTTTTTTCTCAACCACTGTGACCCTACTACTTCCACAAACAATAGAATCACAAAGTAGCTCCAAGGAAATGTCATGGTATATGCATCTATATGTGCCGTATGTGTGCATGTGTTCATACATGCATTTAAGGGCTGTGCTAAAAATGGTGTCTCCATGTTGATAGAAAGACGCATGTTGTCAAATTTCCTTACATGTCCAGTTGAGAAATATTTTCTACTCTCTGCCGCATTAAAAGTGTACTTCAGCAAAGAAAAACAAAACATTGGGAGATTTGGGTGCGTTATGGTAGTACACTACAAAAATACTATGCCATGTTGTGGGATAAACACATTGTAATTCCTTTAAGATAACAGAGCAGAGTTTGGATCAGATAAGGCCCCCGGTTAACTGCTTTCCTTCCTGATCAGACCAATGGAGTGCTTTTCATTCAAGAAGCCTGATGTTATCTTCGAGTTTCAGTTTGGGCCTTCTCCCCATCTGCTTTGGAGCATCATTGATGTCTTTGGCTTGTAAGGTTTTTCCAGCCCTCCACAACTCTGTGGCCAGGATTGCCATCATCCTCTATTCAAGCGGTGAAACATTAAAAATGCAAGGGTATGGGGGTGTTTACCTAATACCTCAGCCACAATGCATTGGATCAATCCAAAGGACCATCAGATGAAAGTAATCAGGCTTCCATCATTAATAATGAATGGCACAATCAGCAGGGACGGTGGGCTCCTATTGTGAGATGGCTGAATGGGAGAAAACTCTTGCACTATTGTGCATCGCTACATTAGTCAGCTGTTGCGAAGATGATTATGATGACAGTGGTGATGATGATGGCGGTGATGTGTCTAACGTTTGCAAGTGCAGTTTGCTTGAGGGGATTATTACGGCACATTTTGTCCTAGGGTGTTGAAAAAGAGAAAGCTGGGTGTGAAGGGGGTTGGTGATGATGTTGAAGTTGGTGGTGATTGTGATGATGATGATGGTGATAATGATAGCAATAGTCACTGTGGCAGTTTTGTTTTAATGTGCTTAATATTTTAAAACTGAGGTGCAGTATATATTATCTGTAGTGTTGATCTTGTAGTGACACTGAAGCCTAGACCTACATAGACATGTAATGTTTTGTTGGCTAATGGTGATGTATACTGCATAATATGCCAGGTACTGTTAATGGTGATCGATGTATATTACATTGAATGGCCATGAAACTAGAGTCAATGTGCCTTAAACTATCTGTGGGCCCTATGCAGCTACAGTGGACAGTTAAAGCCTGATTTAGATGAACTAATCGATTCACTGTGCATTTGTGTAAGCACATGTTCACTCTCTTATGTTTCTTTGTTACATTGTACGCTTCTTATACTTTGTGTTTTATATGCTTGCGGCAGCACAAAGTGTCCACTTGGGACAAATAATAAATTGAATTGAGAATTGAATTGACAGTTACTTTTAATGACTAACATCCAAGGTCCTCACTTTTCTACATCAAGACCAAATTTGAATGGAAGTTTTTCTATGTTATACTATACTATCCTCTTTTTGCTATTTGTACTTACTCTATATAACTTATAAACCATTATATACTGTAATGGTAGATAAGATATGACATTATACTGTACATAAGTAATTCATTCACATTTTGTGTACACAATCTGTGAAATTTTGTTGTACTGATGTACAGTATTGACTTCTCATATATTTTCTTAAACAAGTAGAAATGTTGTGCATTTATTCAGTTTTCTGAAATCAAGAAACCTTCTGAAATTAAGTGACATTGATATCCTGGTATGAATAAAAATTAAATTGTTTCATAAGATGGTGCTGCTAGTTAGTTATGTACAGTGCCTCCGGAAAGTATTCACAGCACATTTTATTATGTTACCACCTTATTCCAAAATGAATTAAATGATTTTTTCCCCTCAAAATTATACAAACAACACCCCATAATGACAAATGTCAAAAAATTTTTGAAGCGCCTTCATCACCAATTACAGGTCCAGAGCGCTCTGGAGAAGGTTTTTATCAAGGATGTCTCTGTGCATTGCTGCATTGATCTTTCCCTCGATCCTGACTAGTCTCCCAGTTCCTGCCGCTGAAAAACATCCCCACAGCATGATGCTACCACCAACATGCTTCACTGTAGGGATGGTATTGGCCAGGTGATGAGGATTGCCTGGTTTCCTCCAATTATGACGCTTGCCAGTAAGGCCGAAGAGTTCAATCTTTGTTTCATCAGACCAGATAATTTTGTTTCTCATGGTCTGAGAGTCCTTCAGGTGCCTTTTGGCAAACTCCAGACGGGCTGTCATATGCCTTTTACTGAGGAGTGGCTTCCGTCTGACCACCCTGACATACAGGCCTGATTGGTGGACTCCTGCAGCGATCTTTGTTCTTCTGGAAGGTTCTCCTTTCTCCACAGAGACATGCTGGAACTCTGTCAGAGTGACCTTCTTGGTCACCTCAGTTTGACCGGGCAACCAGCTCTAGGAAGAGTCTTGGTGTTTCCAAACTTCTTTCATTTATGATGAAGACCACTGTGCTCAGTGGAACCTTCAATGCTGCAGACATTTTCTGTACCCTTCCCCAGATCTGTTTCTTGATACAATCCTGTCTCGGAGGTCTACAGACAATTCCTTGGACTTCATGGCTTGGTTTGTGCTCTGACATGCACTGTTGACTGTGGGACCTTATATAGACAGGTGTGTGCCTTTCCAAATCATTTCCAATCAACTAAATTTACCAAAGGTGGACTCCAATCAAGTTGTAGAAACATCTCAAGGATGATCAGTGGAAACAGGATGTTCAATTTTGAGTGTCTTGGCAAATGCTGTGAATATTTATGTACATGTGCTTTTTTGTTTTTTATTTTTGATAAATTTGAAAACAAACTTCTTTCATATTGTCATTATGGGGTATTGTTTTAAAATTTTGAGGAAAATAATGAATTTCATTAATTTTGGAATAAGGCTGTAACATAACCAAATGTTGAAAAAGTGAAGCGCTGTGAATACTTTCCAGATGCACTGTATGCTGATGACTCAACTTTGTTCTGTGATTCACCAAAATTAGTATAGCTGAGTCGAATCTACATGTTGAGCTGCATACAATTAGTAAATGGCTGAGAATGAACAAATTGCCAAAACTAAATGTATTATAATTGGTAGTAGGAATGTTCTTTTTAACACACCCCTTGTCTGTCAGTGGGATATCAGTTGAGCAGGTCACTAAAAGCAAATTACTGTGTGTCATATTATATAAGTCACTGTCTTGGTCTGATCAGATTGATCAGATTGATCACATGGTTTCCATAATAGGAAGGGGCATTTCAATTTCAAGGACATTTTTTGCATGGTCCATCTTCTGTAATGAATAACGTGGTTTGGTTATTTGTCCTTTCACATCTTGTGTACTGCCCAGTCATTTGATCAAGTGCTGTTGAGAAACGTCAACAAAAAAAACAATGCTTAAAATTGCATAGAACAGTGCAACCAGATTAGTTATTCTTTGTTCTTTCTGTGTTAATGTGTGTGTGAGATGCATAAACATGTATAATGACTAACTGTAGAGGCTGAACTAAAATCTTGCCATCTCTTTCTTAAGTATGTAGATCCAATTAAAAGTTTAAAATATTGCAAGTTGCCTTACCTTACACAACCTTACCAGTCATATATAGTCACTGAAACATTATATAACCACCATCTAGAAGGGTCACAATCTCACACAATGCAAGCATGGTCTTAGTTGAGGAGTGCATGTCAACACTTGATAACTGTGGTCCTCTTCTGTACAGTTGAGCTTACAGTTGGTGTCCTTCATTTTTCTTCATATGATTGTGTGGGCTTAACTTCACTCGACTTTTATTCAATAGGCTGTATTTGCTGACCTGACGGTGAACATTCATTATTCAGGGAATACTTTTGAAAATGTCCTGTTCTGCAACCTAGAGGCAAGTCACTGTTTAATTACAGATGTAACTAGTGTTGCCTGCTGTCTCCACTCCAACTGAATACAAGACTTACTATTGTCTTCATTAATGAGCAGAATTTTGCAGATGTATGCATGAAAGTAATTTCTCTTTCTATGCGTCTTTCTCTCCGCAGGTGGTGTTAGTCTTTGCGCTCAGTATCGGGGCCCTTGGAATATACTTTATAGACTCCTCAGAGTAAGTATCAGTGTCATTATATATCTTCTAAAATAAGATGAAAATTCACATATGCTCCAGCAGCTGAACTGATGATGAAATATAGATAAAATGTACTTGCATGTATTTGTTGCATGCATTTACATTGGCCTACATACTGTATCTGAATGGTAGGTGCACATGCACCCATATTCATCTCCGCACACTTCAATCTCTGAAATGCAAATACACATATTCACACCCCCACAAGCACTCACAAGCAGTGATGCACACACATATAGTACACACACTCACACATCTACATATGAAGATTTTTCAATGGGAAGCCTGTTAGTTTCCATGGTAACAGAGACAGGCAGATACTGTACAATATGTGTTGCGGAGCTTGTTCTATGTGTGAGTAAGTGAGTGTGTGTATTGTCGATTTATGAGTATCACTGGCTGGCAGTCACCCAGAGACAGACTGCAGGGCAGGCGTCTCTCGGATAACCACTGCAGCTACTTTCACACCATCCAGACCCTTTAAAAAAGGAACGGTTTGGAATTAGAAAAACCTTTTTTGTCTTGTGAGTTTCTCTCTGGTAGAAATAATGACTCTTTAGCTCTGGCAGTGAGTCCCATAGTCAGACGATAGTGGTGAGCTGCATTATCAGGTAAAAATGAACAGCATCTAGCAGGGCAGCTAAAATCATTGGTTCAAAACAAGTCTGACATGTAATACACAAAAGCTATTACGTTATTCTTTTCATATGTAATTTGCTATCGGTAAAGTTTTTGTTGTTTGCAGACTCTATCTGCTGTTGCTGTTAATTTTATTTTTTTTCATTGTTTTGTTCACCGTTCCTTTTGGTCATAACATTTTTCCACACTGGCCAACAATGTTGTTCAAGAAACCGCAGAACACAACAGTCTAATGTGTTATCCCTCCCAGGCAGATTTAATTTAAGATGCTACTTTATAAACCATAAACCTATAAATATCAATTTGATCCTTATAAAAGTATATAGCCTCCTTTTATTGTTCAGATGATCACTAGGGATGCAAAGTAATTTCCTCAATCAATCAATCAATGGATTTGTGAATGATCAATAATGAATAAATTATCAAATCTTATTTTTTTTTTAAAAGCAGCCAGAGAGAGCAGGTGGTGTGTAGATAACAGGCCCTTATTGTAGTTAAGGTAAAATTAAACCTCCAATATATCATCATGGTAAATGACAGCGCATGCTGTCACATTTGTAATGTTCCTGTTAGCAGAGATGCTCACAAGTCTTTGACCTAGAGTCCAAGTCAAGTCTCAAGTCAGTGAGCTAGAGTCCAAGTCAAGTCTCAAGTCAGTGAGCTAGAGTCCAAGTCAAGTCTCAAGTCACTCGTGGTTATAATGAATGTTGTATCACCTGCCCTTTACTGGAACTCTGTAACTGTAACATTTTTTTTTACTTACAGAGCACAACCATGTAATGTGCAATACAATTAATGAGAGCTTATTAAACCCAGTGTAACGTTAACTAAATAAAACTGTAATGTTACAAGATCAACAGTAAATCTGTAACCTCTTTTTCACAGAGCACAACCATGTAGCCTAATGTACAATGCGTCTACATCTAATGACAGACAATGAAGTCCACTCATCCCCCAGACTCTCAAACCAGTATAACGTTACTAAATAACACTATAACGTTAGCCTATATGATCAACAATAAACCTGTAACTTATTTTTCACTTACAGAGCACAACCATGTATCCTAATGCGTCTACAACTAATGACAGAAACTACTGTAAGTCAACACATCCCCCAGACTCTCAAACCCTGTGTAAAGTTATAAGTTAACTAAATAAAACTGTAACATTGCATGATCAACAATAAACAGCTTGTTTGCAGCCAACATTAATAATTAACGTGATGGCAGCCAGTGGGACGTAAATGATTACGTTAATCGACTGCCACAAGGTTGGCAAGAAAACAAACGCTCATTGATCTTTTCATAACAAACGACAGTCGGAGTTAACCTGTTGCAGGTCGTAGGTAAAGCAAGAGGCAAGCTAACATTAGGTGGCCAATGCTGAGCTAAACATGTTTACTCACCACAGGTTACTAACCTATTTTGCGTTGAGCACTTCTTTGTTTGGGCCTTGTTGTATGACGTTTTCAAGCCAAAGTTTATGATCAGTGACACAGCAGCTGCCCATGTTTGTTGTCCTCTGTCACGTGTGGCTGCGCGCAGCTCATACTACGTGTTTAGTGGCGCCCCCAGAAAATTTTCCCAGGGGTGACCAGATGGGGCCACTGAAAATCCTGGGGTGGCACACTAAACTAAAAGCCATAACTGAATTTCAGGAATTCTATTATGCAGTATATAGACTAGTTGAATACTACATAAAAATATGAGTTAAGGAATCACAGACTGATGTACTTTGATTTCTTATTTTACAGTTAAAATTGTCTAATGTCCATAGAATAAAACCGGTTCAGTTAACATTCCATAAAAATCCTGTTTGATGTGTTATCTGTATGTGTTAGGCAATTAATTGTTCTTTAAATAGGCAAGTTAACCTTATCCTTCAAAAGAAAAATACAGCTTTTATTTGAGTGCATTGATGGGGATGAACAAAACATTTTCTGGGAACAAGCCTACTCAAGATTACAGACATCATGGAGCATAAATATTTTTCTTTAAAATCAAATTGAAATATACGATATGTGTCTGTATAGAGTTGTGTAATTATCTGTTAACATATTAAGTTTAGTGTTATTCTTGTTACAAACAACTAGGATAGTTATTCTTGAAATATCCCACTTTTTAACAACTGATTTGACCAGTGTCATATTTATATGTAAAAATGGTGGGGCACCAACCATTTTAAAACATAAATACCAATAAAACTACAATACTCTCTTTTGATTCTGTGTTTTTGTCAACACACATGGCTCCACAAAACACTTAACATGAGAGAGCGAGAGAGAGAAGTGCATTGACACAAGTTACAGTACCACTGTCACAAACCTAGATTAAGAATGCGATATTTAAGCACAGAACAAATGAGCCTACAGGGCCATAAGCAAAGAGCAGCATCAATGAAGTCAACGACGCGCACAGACAACGTTTTAGGGATCCAGAGCCTTTCTATAGCCGCTTTCCACAGAGATCCTGCAATCAAAACGCAAAGAATGTCGGTCAATATACTGTATATCCCATTCCCAGCTCCATACCTTTCATACAGCGTAGCAAGCCAGCAAACTGGCCTAATAATCACGAATAATAAGGCAGTATGAACATGGGCAACAATTTGCCCATGCAGGGACCAGCAGCAAAATCAGTATGATAAAAGAAGGTTTCACTCACCAGAGCTAAGGCCTTACGTAGGAGAAAGGTGGCCCGGCGGTTTTTCCTCTGGGCATACTTCTGGTTGACTGAAGTTTTTCAGACAGCCTGCCGACTTGTCGTGGCCCTTCAGTATTTGTTGTGCTACTCACTGGAGCGCCTGTTGGGTGCAAGTAACGTTGAGCCCAGTTTCACAGCATCGTCCAGATGACTGCCGCTGTTCTCATGTTTTGCAACACTTCACAAAGATGAAGTTGAAAACAGGCAGAGGACGGTGTCCCTCGACACAGCGCTGTCATGGCTCCAGTGTTCGTACCACGCTAGCTTGCTGTAAGCGATGGCGCTAACCTGTTGCTATCTGCAGACTGTTAGCTCTAACACACAGTACAATACACCAAATTGTATAGCAGTGTGACAAACTTATTATAAATTACCCAGGCTACTAACTGTCTCTGTACATTAATTAAATTCGAATTTTCTTTCTTCTTCCACCACAGAAAACACACACATTCGGCACAACACCGGTGTACTCCACTCTGCTCTGCCTTTACCCATTTTACCCCTAACACACTTTATATGCTAAGCTGCATTGTGCACTTCACTTTCGGAATGGTTATTTTGCCTTTGTAACAGATGCCTTGAAATGAGGTCTAGAACGACTTATGATCAACAGGTTAACCTGACACTTGAGCATGCTTCCTTGAAAGATATGCAAACATTGAGAAGCTATCCACTAGACAACAAAAGAGAAAGCTAGAAAGCACAAGGTTGGCAGAAAAATAATGTGCCATAACATCCAACCTGCAGGGCATAAACAGAAGAATAGTTAAAGCACTCTGGTTTTGCTGCAGAACTATAGTTTCTCTCATATTTCCCCACTGTATCTTGTATGTTACAGTGCACTGTGGTGTATTTCTATGTGAGTCGGCTTCCTTGAGGCATTGCCCTGATCTCTCTGTGCTCCCATTAAACTCAGGCCCTCTCTATTCTCATTATCGTGATTAGCTCAAGCTTGTCATTTGAGTGTGCACATCCTCTCAGGGGGACTACTGATCAACCCAAAGGAAGTTCAGCTGACTCTGAGGGATTTGACATCCTAAACAGGGTCAGACTTGTGTTATAGCCATACTTTCACTACAACAGCTGGAGCCTCTTATGTGCTCTACATCCATTGTTACATGTCATAGAGACGACCTGACACTACAAGATCTATTTTTGTCTCTGCCACAAATGGCAAAGTTGCCAACCTCAAAATAATCTAAGATAAGCCATATGGGCAATCAAGGACAAATGGTTCTCAATTATCATTGTGAGAATGACACTCTGCGTCCATACTAGCTATCACAAGTAAACAGCGCTATAGTCTATCAACAAAGCTAAAATAGAGCATTGGGTTGGATCTCAAATACATCATAAACCAAAACATTTCACTCTCTATTTTTGTATTTGTGAAGTCTATTCTCTCCAAGAACATTCTACTCAAGGACACAAATATTGACACGTGCATTTCCTCTGATTATCACCCTGTGTGTGGGATTGCATGTGCATGCATTCATGATGTATGAGGGGCATACGCTACATGCAAAAATGATCTGACTCACCTTTATAACCCCATACTCAAATGCTAAAAATGCTCAAAAGATGCTCCATGTAGCCTCCTTGCCACTAAATGTTAATGACCAAGGAAATCGAGCACAG